ACTTTATTGCTATCACCTAGGGGGCTGCTAGACTGGTCCCTGCAGCCTTGCTCCCCCCTCCGCTCCGGCAGTCTAAGGTCCTGAGTGATCATATCCAATACAGTGTATTGGGCGTAAGGATGCTGATGGACATTACATCGCTGGAGCAGAGGTACAGACAGGCTACAGGGACCGGAGTAGCAGCCAGCTCCAAGAGTCAAGTGAGAATACCTTTTTATTGTTGTCCCTAGACAAAAAAGACGACTTAACCCTTGTAGCACGGGGGGTAGCTCCACTGCAAGAGTTGTAAATCGTTATACCTAGAGTTCTTTATGCATTGACTATGAACTGAACTAAGGCCAAACTGAACGTAATAAAACTATTAACACCACAAGCAAAACCTATTCGCAAAATCAAAATATTGTCTGGGCTAACCACTAACTTGCCCTTGCAGGTCTCTTCATACCCTCTTCCTCTCAAATATGTGCTATCATACAGACTTCTCCTGCATCTTTGTTTTGTTCAGGCAATGGCATTATCAAGTTATTTTCTCTTTGAATGTCACAGGGAAAACCATCAGAAAACTTTACTTTTTACTTTGACTTCTGCTTTACATAACATTTCCAGCAGTATAAAGAAGGAACAGGGTTTGATAAAAAAAATTATGAACCCCTGCTACCCTAGCCAGGTCTGCTTTTTTTTCCATTGTACTTTTGGATGGAGATCAGGTTCTTGTAAGTTGCATGGTCTGCATTTATCCTGTATTTACACTGCACAGTTATTGTTGTTTCTGCCTTTTGCTGAAATTTTATGGTTTGTTTTTAGGTAATGAATATTCGAAAAGTGTTAAATCGATTAGATAAACCCCAAGGACTTTATCCAAACTATCTGAACCCAAGCAGTGGGCAGTGGGGACAGCGTAAGTATAATAGCTGATGGTTTTATTATGGTTTGTCATGTTTAGAACTTGTTCATATGTGTACTTTTAGGCCTTATTAACACAGCTAAGAGCCAGCCCGTACAGATCCGTGTGTCGTGCCCGGCCATATCGGTCCGTTCCCAGGGAGGACAGGTGCCGAGTGTGATTGTATGCAGCAGCCTGTGCTTCTCTATGGGAGTACGCCACCGTACGCTCACCCGAACTGCACATGGGTGCGGGTGTCCGTGCTCGGGCGCAGACAGGATCTGCACTTGGGTGTGCAGCTCGGGTGAGCGTACGGCCGCGTACTCCCATAGAGAAGAACAGACTGCGTACAAGCACACTCTGCACACCGCACGGATCTGTACGGGCCAACACTTAGCTGTGTGAATGAAGCCTTAAGCTGAACTCAAGGCATGCTTTTTATATACACCTAGCATATTTAACTGTATGTATATTGGCCTTCTGTAATCTCTTGCATATTAAAGGGAATATTATTATTATTATACAGGATTTATATAGCGCCAACAGTTTGCACAGCACTTTACAATATAAGGAAGACATTAGAATCACAATACAATTCAAGACAAGATGGTAAGGAGATATAAAGTCAAAGTGGCCAGCACACCAAAGTAATTCAGCAAAAGTCCATTTATTGACACAGTTGAAAACACCAGCTGCACTCCTTACCGGAACAGTAGTAGACCCGCAAAAGCAGGTGGGTGCTTGTAGTGACCATGGACGGTAACCGTGTGTAACACAAGAATATAAAGTCAAAGTGGCCAGCACACCAAAGTAATACAGCAAAAGTCCATTTATTGACACATTGCCATTCAATAACAAGCGCTTTCGGGACCTCAAGGGTTCCCCTTCATCAGGCTCAGAATGACGTCATCTCAGAATGACGTCATTCTGAACCTGATGAAGGGGTACCCTGGAGGCCCCGAAAGTGCTTGTTATTGAATGGCAATGTGTCAATAAATGGATTTTTGCTGAATTATTTTGATGTGCTGGCCACTTTGACTTTATATTCCTGTGTTACACATAGTGCCGTCCGTGGTCGCTACAAGCACCCACCTGCTTTTGCGGGTCTACTACTGTTCCAGTAAGGAGTGCAGCTGGTGTTCAACTCTTCAAGATGGTAAGGAGGGCCCACAATCTAAAACCTCTAACTGAGCCAATTAGAACTGTTATCAGTCTAGCACTGTAAACATACTTTCAGATAGAAAGAACACAGGTATTTTCAACATCAGTGTGACTTTGTCCAGTTACTTGCTGATGCAAGTCTTTAACCAGTGCAATGTCGGTGGATCACAGACCCATCTTAGCCGGCCAGCAGTGATTCTTGGAACACATACTTCCTAACCCATGTTTTTGAGTAATATGCTGTATTTTGGATATGAATGTGCTTTAAAAGCAGGGGAAATGGTGTTTGTGAAAAGACTTTAAATTCCCAGCCTGTAAATACTTCTTTTCTTGAATGATGTTCACACACAGTAACAAGACCTTCTGAATCAACTAAGGCTGTATGTGCTCACAGATAATGAGTCACACAGAGCACAAGGCTCTACGGGGGGATAAGAAGTACAGAGCCTAAACAAAGCAAACTTCTGTGCTTTTCTTTGCTCTTTTTGTCTCTCTTTTAATATATATCCCTATTCATAATACTAATTGCTGCAGCAGAAATGTTTCTATCTTCTGACCAAGTAACTAAGGTACAAATAAAGATCCTTTGTTATTTATTACTATTTTGTTTTTCAGCAAGATACCCGTATGCAAGGATTGCAAATTGGGCTACATATTTAACCTCTGTAAACATTTTGTATAACACATTTCTTTACACCTTTGTGCAGAAAATGCATATGTTTTGTGCATTCACCTGGTTTTCTGAATTAACAGAAATAGTCTCCATGGTGATTGTGTATGCAAAATTGTAAAGGTCATTCAAATGAAGCCTGACTTCTAAATTCTGTATACTAAATGTTATTTAGTGCAATTAAGCATTATTCTATCACCTGAATGCTTCATTTTACCTTCAGCCATTTGAATTCAGTCTTCCCACATATGTCTATACACAGCAGCTGACATGCACTGCTGTGTAGGTGGATTAAAACACATTCTACATGTATACTGGAGTGGGTATTATAAGTGAAAGCCAGGAGCTGCATTCACAAGGATGTTTTACAGCTAATCTTAAATAGTGGGTGGATATATATTAAAAACCACACAGAGGGGAACATTAATTTCAAAATCCAGCAGTTTGTAGAAATGCGACACAAATTTTAATGGAGCCTGTACTGAAATGTATGACCGCTGCCATTGCTTACCTCACCTTTAAAAATGCTAGTTGCCTGGTCATCACTAGATTCAGAACTTTGATATGCTGACCCTAATCAAATATTTGAAACCAGAGAAAAAATGACATCTAGCACTTTTAGGAGTTGCACCCTCTGTTGCTCTCAGAACAGGGTTTGTGTATGTAACATGGCAACTGTGTGTAGCTGCAGAAAACTTTCCCACTGTATACTGAAGATCATTAAGAACAGCAATGATTATCTTTGAATATAATTTGCTTAGAAGTTTATGATAGTTACACATTTTATGTGCAGCATTTAAAAAAAACATTTAAGGTAACAATTCGCAAATCTGAAAATACTTTTGCAAAGCTAAGTCATGTTAGGCTGATGGATATTTAGCAGTATGTGCCATCTACAAAAGTGGTGTCAGTTAGCATTTAGATGCTTGAGTTTTGAAGACAAATGAAGGCCAAATAGTGTTGATACAAATCTGAAAGGAAAAAACAAATGGCAAAAGAGGATCTATGGCCAAAGGTCACTAGCAGGGGTACAAAGACACTGAGCAGGTTAGTTGCAAAATGCAAAAAAAAAGTCAAACTTTGCAAAGAACTGAGGCAAAGTTTTTGTAAACTACCCTCTAAAGCTATATGGTATGGGCCTCAGAAAGGCTACCATAAAAAAACTATGTGGAACATTTCTGATTCATACTGTTCATGTTGTACTCTTATTCAGAGATAGTGTCTTTGTATGCATTTTTTTAAAATATTCATGATTGTGGATTGAAATACTTCAGGAGGAAGTCTTGTGCCATCCATGACCTCTGCAATATACAGAATTAATCACCTTAGAAACTTGATGGAAAGTTCTCAGGCATGAAATTCACTGTAGATTTCCACCTTCTTAAGCTGGCCATACACTGTGCCAATTTCCGCCAGTTCTTGGTGTACTGCCCAAAATCCACACAGTGGATGCCTCTGTCGCCACCCTTCTATTTGGCATGTTAAATCGGAAAATCGAAGGAGCCAGATGAAAAATCTTCAGGTGAATGGTGACGGCAGCCAATTAGCCTTCTTCACTGTTCCAGTATTCTGACAGTGGCACACCCGCCACTGTCGAAATACAAAGCACACAGCGAGAGATCTGTCCATTCACAGTCTTTAGTTTAGCCTGCCGATTTGAATGAAAAATTTATAACAGTGTATGGCCAGCTTTTATAGGGACTTCAGTATGTGAATAGCAAATTTGCAAAGCTTTCAGCCAGCTTCAAAAATGCTTTAACCACTTAAAGACCAGGGTGTTAAACCCCCTTCCTGACCAGGCCATGTTTCAGTATTCAGCGCTGCAGTACTTTGATGTTTATTAAGTCATAGAATGCTGTACTGAAATTAATTTTATACCATTTTTTTGGGGACACGGAGCTTTCTTTTGGTGGTATTTAATTGCCACTTTTTACTATATACAAAAAAACCTTTTTAGGTTTTTAAAAAACCTGTTTCACTATGAAATGTTATAAAACGTTTATTATCACCCCAATTCTTGGGTAAAATATAAAACGGGTTCACGTCCGGTGAATAGACACCAAACATGTCAAGCCTTAAAATTGTGCGCGCCCACAAAATCGCAAAAAAACGCACCTAATACAAGCGATCAGCGTCTCTACAGATGCCGGAACACTTGTATGTAAACAGCCATCGCACGAGTGGGGGTGGGGAGGGAGGTTTTAAGACGCCAACCCGCATCTACAAGGCTCCCGTCTGGCCGTTTAGGTACGGCCAATGGACGGGAGGTGATTAAAGGAAATCAAACTTTAAGCAGTGCTGAAGCCTAGTAGTAACCCTTTTACTGCCAAGCCCTGTGCTCCACTTTTAACCTCAGCTGACCCGACCGTGTTTTTGCAATTTCTTTAAACTACAGGTGTTCGTTTTTAAAAGATATTTTTAATTTTTTTTTTAAAACACAAATTATGAGCACACATTAAATACAAAATTCCTGCTACATCTAAAAGTTAAACTGTAGGTACACAGAACTGTAAACCAACGTATGCTATAAATGTGGAGGTTGACCTTGCATCATGATTAAATGGCACAAGTATATATCGCAAGGCCTCACATGCACAGCTTAATGGTATTTTTTAAAAGTAAAAGAAAACCACTGCACTCATAACAGTGCATGCACATTATATTGCAAACTGTTGCATGTATTTATTATGTTGGGCAGGTGTTTTACCTCATTTTTTTGGTTATCACAGCAATCACATGGCGATGTTTACATTGCCAAGCCTTCCTCTTACATCAGAGGCAGGGAAGAGTAAAGTGAGTAATGAATGGATAAGTCATCCATTTATTACTTCCCAGTAAAAGCAACCCGCAGCAGCAAAAAAATTACAATTTTAGCCTCATCTCTTTCTTTGTTATTTGCATTCTCTATCTGCTCTAACCATTTCTGGGGTTTTCGTACTGTCCTGACAATTTTATTTGCTATGATTTATAAACGAAAGTAAGAGAAACAGACTTTTTTTTCAAATTTTTTTGGTCTTTTTTCTACTTTTATATAGTAAACATTTTTTTTTATAAAAAAAGAAAACGCTGTTCAATACCAGTAAAAGAAAGCTCTATTTGTCCCCTAAACACAATATAAAATTAATTTTGATACAATGTTGGGTGATGGAGGAATTCTCTGCCAAACTTGCACAGCACTGAAAAATGGTTTGGTAATGAAGGGGGGTGTAACATGCCGGTACTGAAGTGGTTAAAGTCAAAATATTTGGGGGTGTAATAGTGTTGAAATTGTGGGGCCTATTCATAAAGGTTTTAAAATAGTTTTCCACCGTTTATTCTTTTAAATTTTACAGTTTTTTTTATGCTTCTTCGAAGGTCATGTTCACCAGTTTGCTTCTTCAAAGGTCATGTTTAGTTCTACAACTTTGTTTACCATATTTCGCATATATTGCAAATGTAATTCATGAAGAGGAGAAATAAGATAATCATGAAGAAAATTCTATTTAAGTAGAACAATCTAGACGAGCAAATCTGATTACTTGAAAACTCTTCCTCGACTTTTCATCAGGGTGTTTAAAAGGAAAATTTACTATCTTGTAGATCTCAGATTTTGTCATGTCATAGAGCTGAAGTTTAATAATACAGCAAACTAGATTGTAGAAAATGTTAAGTTAAACCAGGCAAACGAGTCCATTTTTAAACTTCTTTTTTTTTTTTTTTTTTTTTATTTCCCAGAAAATTGTATTTTTAGTCGGTGTTTTTTCCTTTTTACATTATTGCATTTTTTTTAATTCCCAGTAATCTGTATCTTTAGTCAGTGTATCTTACCTTTTACATTATTGCATTTTTTTTTTAAATGTCCACACTAAATTTTGTACCAGATCTGGTGAGGCAGTAAAATGGTAACCATATTTTTAGCTCTAGTGCTACACAGGCTCAAGATGTGCCATTGAACCCTCTGATGACATCAGTGTATGTCGAGGTGTTCTCCTGGCCATAGAGGCTAATTGATAACATTATACTTTTCAGTATCATGCCAGTTGAGTATTTTGCAGAGCTAATATCCTCTCAGTGTCTTTATCAGCCTGAGGCTCTGTAGCAATCCTTTCACCTAAACTACATGTTTTTACTTGAAGGCAGGGACATCTTTGAGCAGTTAATTTGCTTTGTAATTTGTAATACTCTGCTTTCCTTGAATGTGCAGCCAAGTGAATTTTTCAACTGTTTGATTGCAAATGTAATCGTCATCCTCTGGTTCACATTTTTATAGTTAGTGAAACTTATTTTTGAAAGACTACCACTACCAGCCGCCCTGCCAGTCGTATACCTATACTTATATACTTGTTCCTAATGCAGCAAGATTTCAGCTTTGCTCAGCGCCACACTTGTTTGAGTCTTCTCCCTCAGGCCTGCGCAATTGTGTTTTTTTTTTCTCTATATGAAAAGTTTGTCCTTGGATAAATGTGAAATCTATGAATTAGTGCAGCAAGTAGCAGTGCCTCACCCTAGTTCACTTGCTTATTAATTTAAAAATACAATACTAATGCATGTTATACTTAAAGGGTGGTTGTTGGCTACACTGACACTTTCATTTCATTCACTTCTATGCATGTGGCTCACCATACCTTCATAGAGTGCTGACTATAAAGTAACTCCCTTTAATACAGCTATTGATTGCCTTCTCTTTTTCAGATCACGTGTCAGTGGGAGGACTTGGTGATAGCTTCTATGAGTATTTGCTAAAGGCATGGCTTATGTCGGACAAGACTGATGAAGAAGCCAAGAAGTTATATTATGATGCTGTTCAGGTAAATTAAATTAAAATGCCAAACCTTTACATGAATAACCAATATTTATTATTTGTATTGGTTTATTCTATCCAAACTAATGTCAGATTGCAAAAATATCAAATCAAATGCTACAGCTCCATTTAGAAAAAAAAATGGTTATTCCATAGAAAACCATTCTGTTCTGTAGGTGTGATTTTTGAGGATGTTACCACAGGGAATTTAAAATCTCATTCTTATGAAGCTATTCATTGCATGCATTGGTGTGTAAGAACTGCGAAACTTATTAACATAGATTTTATCAGAGTGTCGTACTAATCTCCAATGTGTGAATTAGCCCCTTGTCATTGGTGTTGGCATTTATTTGAAATTAGAATTATGAAGGGTTGGCTGCCTTGAATTTTAAAGTAGATCTGTTACACAGCTTGTTATTTTGCCTATATTTATCATGCACATCTGAGTGAATTTCATTTGTGTGATTTATGGGCTTGACTTGCTTTAAAGTAACTACCTGATAGAGCCCCATCTCTAGAATGGAAGGGTTCATTTCAGACTTGTCATAGTTATCACCGATGGGCACATGCGTCAGAAGAAATTACTTTAAGTTGTGTTTTGGTTCATTAAAGATACTATTAGTGAGCATCCCCTATATTCCACTTTGTGTGTTGCTAGAGAAGGACTTAAATAGGATCTAAAAGGCTTCTTTTTTGGTCCATATAGTATCTTTTTATGCGCTCGTGTCAAGATATGGAATCTGTTTCTAGGCTACTGTTTCTCTACCAGGGGAGTTCTAAAGGAGGTTGAAAACAAAAATTCAGGAAAACTTTAGAAGGACATGGCAATCTGTTAGCTGCTGATCTCAAATAATTTGCTATCAATAATGAGATTAAATGTTAAAGTTTTTATATTGACCATATACACTGGCTCCTTTCCTGCATTTTCAGCTTAAACTTAAATAATTTGTTTTATTTTTTTTGCAAAATAAAATCAAATGGAGCAATTTATCACCTTGATAATTTTATATTTTCTAAAGAAATGTTTGTGTTTTCTGCATTAGTCCATTTTGGCCTGGTTTGTATTTGGGCTCTCGCTGAAATGGTTTAAATTGCTAGAATACGGACCAGTTGCTTGGGCATCATTAGTGATATCGGGGGCCTGTGCTGACTTCTTGTGCTGCTCCTGTCCCCATCTCTAAGCTATGCTCTACAATGCGTATAGTAGACTGTACTCGCACTACTTGAATTTCAAAAATACATTTAATAATTACAGGGCTGCATTGAATTGTCTTTTATACATGCTTAGATTTCAGCACGAGACTGACATAATAGACTATTTTCTACTTGGTTACTTTAAACAAGACGTCTCACCTTGTTTTATTTTTCACAGCTCAGTCACCTAACTCCCACAGTATATGTTCTTTAATGTCCTATGTGCAGCATAAGCTAAAATTCAGAGTGTGACAACTACCCCCACCCCCCATTTTTGACAATGTTCTATAAAGGAGATGGGTCCACTGTCCCTGCATTTTCCCAATACAAACCAGGAAATTCCTTCCAGGTAGCATCTGTGCTGATTCTTGAGACAGCGCAACCTGTCCCCTTTGCCCTGCTTGTATCAGGAAAGCGCAGATTCCAGCCTTACTATTTGTCCCCAAATGGCAGAAACCACTGGGAACCTGGTACACCCATCTGCAGTCCAGAGAACTTGGAAATGGACTTTCCTACACATGAAAACAAATTGGGGTGCAGTAAAATGGCGAAACGTGACTGGGATTGATGATCCAAAATGTAAACTGATTGGCCCAAACAGAAGGCAGTTTGTTTGCTGAATAAGTGTACATTGTATCAAATGGGAGACTTTGTTCTTCCCCCATTCCAATAGCAGTAGCCACTCCATACCTCCGTATAAAGCAGTTTATATTTTTATTATTTACAGATTAGTGTTAAATATACTTATTATATACTATTACACTAATTGGGCGCTTTATTATGTACACCTTCAACTGCTCATTAACACAAATATCTAATCAGCCAGTCACATGGCAGTAACTCAATACATTTAGGCATGTAGACACGGTCAAGATGGTGTGCTGAAGTTCAAACCGAACATCGGAATGGAGAAGAAAAGTGATTTAAGTGACTTTGAACATGGCATGGTTGTTGGTGCCAGACGGGCTGGTCTGAGTATTTCAGCAACTGCTGATCTACTGGGATTCTTATACACAACCATCTCTAGGGTTTACAGAGAATGGTCTGAAAGAGAAAATATCCAGTGAGCAGCAGCTCTCTGGGCAAGAATACCTTGTTTAATCTAGCGGTCAGAGGAGAATGGCCAGACTGGTTCAAGCTGAAAGAAAGGCAATAGTAACTCAAACAGCCACTTGTTACATCTGAGGTATGCAGAAGAGCATCACTGAACACAGAACACATTGAACCTTGAAGCAGATGGGCTACAGCCATAGAAGACCACACCGAGTGCCACTTCTGACCGTTGCCTGGTCTGAGTCTCAATTTTCTGTTGCGACATTCAGATGTCACAATTTGATGTAAACATGAAAGCATGGATCCATCCTGCCTTGTATCAATGGTTCAGGGTGGTGGAGCTTCGCATTATGGATGTGCAGCCGACAAATTTACAGCAACTGAGTGATGCTATCATGTCATTATGGACCAAACTCTAAGGAATGTTTCCATCACCTTAATCAATGCAGTTCTGAAGACAAGGGGTCTAACCCAGTACTAGCAAGGTGTACCTAATAAAGTGGCCAGTGAGTGTATATTTACCTTGATTTGTTCATAGCTGCAGCTCTGATAGATGCAGCTGTAAACCTATAAATTCTCTGTGCCGTAAACTGGAAACAAAATATGTTCTCCCTAAAGAATGTCAAAGTGCTTCATTACAGGTTTTCATTAATGCTGTAAATCTGTGGTACGCTTACAATTATTGCACATAAACTCTATCTTAACTATCTCTACAACTTTCCTACCTCATTTTCACTGCTGTACAATAGGTAGATGGCATTCTTATGGAAGAACAAATATTAGACTTTTTAGTTAGCCCAGGAGAATGTCCTCAGGTGAGTTATGCTTCCTCTTCGTGGCGGTTAAGAAGAACTTTTATGGTTCAGGTGTTATCACCAACAAATTATCTGCAGCAGATACTTTTTTGAGCTTGATTCAGAAAACAAACTTGGCTTTTAAATGAGGTCTAAAGCTAAACAATGTGCATATTGTTCCTTTTTTTTTCTTTTTGTAGTTTTCAAGGGAAACAAATGTAACATTTTTATCCTTGTGATTTTTTTTTTTCTGGGCATGAATTCCAATCTGTGTTTTAAAAACATTTCAACTGCTGCACCCCTGAATGAGTTAAAAATGAAATGTCAAGATCATTGCTGTGGTATAGTGCATATCAGGGCCATGCTTAAATGTGTCACAAGCATTATCTTTGTATTTTTTATTCTCTGATACAGAAATGGAGTGCAGATTCACTGTGTGTCTTCTCTGCTGCGTTGCCACGGCCCTGAGCTGTCAAAGTGAAGCTAAAATGAATATAAAGTTTTGGATACACTCCAAAATCTGTGGTACGGGGTAAACACCATTCCTGGATTGTCAGCGAATACATGACCTCCAGCACTAAACTAGGAAAACACTAGAAAATAGTGCCAAGAACAACTAGCAAATTAATACAAAAAGGCAATATTTTATTGAACAAACAATTCATAAAAAACAATACAAACAGCCGTGATTTATAAAAAGACCCCGTAAACTATCATATACAGTATATTGTAATAATAAACAAAGCTCTGCAGTAGAATAATCCCTCCTCCCTCAGGGTAAAATTTGGATTTCATATTGTGCCACAGATTTGTAAAATATAAGGAGCAAAAGAAATAACCATGTTATGCTACCATCAATCTACAATACATAAGTAATCGGCTTATAAAGTTTATCACAATGCATGTCAAATGCAATAGGTGATTTCATGTGTGTGTATGTATATATGTATATATGTATATGTATGTGTGGTGTGTGTGTGTGTGTGTATGTATATATATGTGTGTGTGTGTGTGTGTATGTATGTATGTATGTATATGTGTGTGTGTGTGTATGTATGTATGTATGTATATATGTGTGTGTGTGTGTATGTGTGTGTTTGTTTGTATGTATGTATGTATGTATGTATATAATCATGTTTAAGTTTGGCCAACTGCATCAAAGTGACACTTCTCTGACCATTTCCTACTCTACAAAAACTTTTGTCCAATAAATGAATTTTAAAAATCCAAACTGATTCAATCAGTGATGGTGATGAAATAAAATAGAGAGACCCCCACACCAGGATTAATAACCTATAAATGATGGAAACAAAGGAGGAAGAAAGATAGTAGGAGGCAATAGGCAACTTATCAGAGTGTAAATGAGGATGGGGAGCTGCAGCACTTGATAAGCACTATTTGTGGCATGTTGGAAGGGCCACTTCCGCAGAGGGAAAAAGCAGGTCACAGTTGAGGGACCTGCATCTGGAGTCGTTGGGTGAGTATAAAAGTGCCCATACACTGTACGATTTTCGTACGAGAATCGTACAGTGTATGGAAGGTGTGTGACCGTTTCTACTGTACGGTCGCACGTCTTCCGTTGAACAAGCAGGCTTGAAAACCTGCCGAGGATCGTACGATTCTCGGCGGGTTAGTGGGCTGCTTGTTCGACAACTGCCGAACGGGCACGCGCACACTGCCCATTTGCAGTGATCGGAAGACTGCCCCACACTGCTGTCATCGGAAGCCCGCCCCTCAGCGAGGCGGTCTTTCGATGATCGCAAGTACGATCTGCCCGTCCAAGATTGGCAGATCGTACGAGCTTTTAATAAGCTTACGACTATCGCAAGACAAAAGACATGGTCGTAAGGTGTATGGGCACCTTAAGAATAGTTTTGCTGCACGATTATGTTTGCACAATGGGAGTATGTAATTCCCTCCTGCCTAACTTGTTGGGCCCCTGAAGAAAGATGTTTGTTTTTCAAATATGTATTGCTTACTTGGGACAAGGAACAGGGGTTATAGTAGTTACATGGCTTGGTTTATTTCTTTCACACTATCTTTTTCTGTGCTGTCCACCCCTTTGCACTTTATTTCCTCTTATCTTTTATAATGGATCTTGCTAAGAGACACATCAGACCTTGCTCAAGTCACTTTTATGGAGGCTATAGAAAACAGAAATGTGGAAACATTGATTCGTAAAGGACTGTGATATCTGTGATCTCTAGCAGCCTCATGTAATGTGCCTTTAATTCTGTTGACTGTCTTCTATGTCCTGTCCCCAGTCTTGTCTCTGACTATCTTTGCAGCATGCATGTAGTCTTTGACGATGTGCTGTTGTATGCCTGCAATCTCTGACAACTTTATGTATCATATTTACTGAATATTATGTGGCCCTAGTGATTTCAGGGGGTGCATTTGATGCCCCCTACATCAAGAAAGTTATTCACCACTGATGTAAATTAATGAGGTGTGTTGAGGTCTGCTTTAACTGTGTTGAGCTTTTCTGACAAATTGCTAGGCTAAGGAACATTTCAGATATGCTCTGATGTTTTTGACTCCTGGTGTACTTTCAGTGTAAAAAGATATTACAAGTAGATGAAAGATTTATTTCTGTGTCTGGAGTAATAGGGTAGATGTCTTTTTTTTCCAGTACCTGCTTGTCCATAAAGTGACAGGAGTTAAACCTTAAAAAATACATTCAAGTACCTTAACTATTAACAAAATGTATCTTATTTGTGCATGTTGTGTATGTTGTATGTCTATGCTGTAGATCCTCAAATCATCTCTCAATTGGTGCAGACACTCCTTCCTTCTGGAGGGTGGCTACGTTTATTCCCCATGGTCCCTGTTTGTGTAGTAAAGTAACCACGGCTCCAAGCTCGCTCCAGTGATGGACTTCAATCTCACATTTAGGCTAGGTTCACACCAGATGCAGTGCGTTCCGGCACGATTCTGGCAGGAATGCACCATTGCATTGCGACCGGCTCACTGTTTTGTGGGGGCCGCAATGCAATCGGCCGCACGGGATTGCAAGGCACATTGTGCCTGCGCCCCGGTCCGGTGCGATCCAAAGGCTGCAAGCACTATTTTGATCGCACCAAACCGCAGGCATAATGTGCCTTGCGATCCTGTGCGGCCGGAGGGCGTGGCTACGTTGCCATTCACTTAATAGCCCGCCACGTCCCCTCCTGCCCCACAAAAAAGTGAGCCAGCCGCAATGCGATGCAGTGCGCTCTGGCCAGAATCGGGCCGGAACGCACTACTTCTGGTGTTAACTTAGCCTTAGTTTACAGCTCAGTCATGCACAAATAAAACACATTTTTGTTAATGGTTAAGGTATTAGAATGCATTTTTAAAATTCCATTCCTGAGTTGTTCTGCAGCCCACCACATAATCATATTTATTCTGGACTCTTCCAAATCCAACTTTGAGTAAGCATTAATGAGTCATGTACATAATATCCTGGCTATTATAATATAAATATTTATATTTGTATCAAATTTGTAAGTAATCTAATGATATCTCTATAAAGAAAAAAAGAAATTACATCTGCGGATGCTAAATTTCCTTTGCTGTCTCTTGACAGACTAACAATTTAGCATGAAATAATTTGCTTCATCCTTGTGTTGTGTTTTAAGGTAAACCTGTATGATTTTCACTCTCTGATCTGCTGCTATTTCCAAAGCTGTTCATACAGGATGATTACAGTGTTTATCAAGATCTAGCAGAAAACGCTGAGGACCCTAATGATACCTTTCTCTGACTACCAATATTGTGTTGCCTGTCCTGAATTACTAACTTGAATTTGTGCAGACTTGCTCTTCTTTCCTTGTGGCATGTCATTTTTGCTCACCTGGTTGCTAAGTACGGTTCTAGGTAGAAGTGCAGGTTTAGTACAGATTATAGATTTTATCTTGGTTATTGATGCTTTGTGCTTCATTGCAATTAAAAACCATTTTGCAAGGAATATGGGGAATAGAGCAAAGTGATTGGTTTTGTTGCCTAATTGAGTGTGTGATTGGTTTAAAACATCACAGGCCAGTGTATCATTCATGCATGCTGCAGTGACTGCATCCATCCATTATAAAGAGGCTGTTCTTTTTCTGTTCACATACCCTCATCTTTGGAAAGTGAGCAGATTCTACACACAGGATAAATTGCTGCTATTATTCCTCAAGGTAATGCGCTTCTATCTTCTCCACGCACATGTTCATTAAGCAGTCATCATTCTTGGCATTAACTTTCTTCTGTAATGACAGTCTTTCATTAGCATGCTCTAATATCTGTGTCCACCATGCATCAATTAATCATGACACAAAGCCACAGTGACTCAAGCAGTAACAGTGATCTTTTCCATTGTCTTCAATGTTTTGGTATGCAAAACATAAATATTTCATTGTATTATGCTATTTGATAACTTCATTTGTCAAAATAAGGCAATTTTGTAGCAAACCATGGTTATTTATCAGCATCACAATATGCATGAGTTTTAAGTCTTGTGTTCTGTGATTACTTAGTCATGCAAATATTGCTTGATTATATTAATGTCCTTTTATATGCCAAAACATATTGCAGAAGAACAAGCTTAATCTCAAAATAGAAAATGCTTACACATAAAACAAGTGCATTTATCACTAATATTAAAAGATAATTGCATATTTGCAGTAGTAAACTCCATATGCCCTCAAATCTCAATACAAACTAGTAGTCAATCACTGGAGTGTTTTTTTTGTTTTGTTTTTTTTAATCTAATTTAATAATTGGCTAACTAATCGATTATGAAAATAATCGTTAGCTGCCGCCCTAAAGACCTATTCTTTTCTTTAGAGAAGCAAGGGGTGCCAGGTTTCATCTTCCGCTGTATGGTTTCAAGCTGCCTGCAGTGAAAATAAACCATTATTATATGGGATTTACCGTATTTTGCGTTCCATAAGACGCACCGGACCATAGGACGCAGGGAGGTCCGGTGCGCCTTATGAAGCACTTGACAGACCGTAGCTTCTGTCACAGCTTCTGTGACAGAAGCTGCAGCTAGTGACCGCTGAGACAGGTGGCGCTGTTATTACAGCGCCACGGTCTCAGTGATCACTCAGAGCAGACGGAGAACGTCCGTTCTTCGTCTGCTCTATGGTAAACTCGATCGCCACCGCTGCTCGGTTTTAATACGAGTGATCTCATTAGATCACTCCTAATAAACGAGCAGTGGCTCCTACTGTACATTTAGCTCTGCTTCAGCTGAGCTAAATGTACAAAAAACTACTCGCCCGGCGCCCGAAACTGCATGTCTCTGGCGTGGGGATTCGCTTCATAAGACGCAGGCACATTTTCACCCTCCTTTTGGGGGGGGAAAAGTGCGTCTTATGGAGCGTAAAATACGGTATATAGCGCCAACAGTTTGCGCAGTGCTTTACAGTAAAACCATGAGTGGTTTCACACGTATAGGGTTTGTTTTTGTAAAAATGCACAAACATTTTGCTTAAATAGAAAATCTACTACCTAGAGTTGTCCTTCAAAGATGGTCTCTTCGGTAGAAAAGAAAAGAGAAGGGTGCCATCCCTAGTGTAGATGGTTTTTAATGTGAGCTGAAGTACAAGGTAAAAACATACTCACAAATAGACATGTGCGATTCGTTTCGTTCCGAATCGAAATTCGGACGAATTTTCATAAATTCGGATGTTTCCGAATTACAGATATAACGAATGCAAACGAATCCGAATTTCCGTTTCCGAAATTCGGTAGCAGTAGTTCGTTCCCTATTCGTTTCGTTGAAGAAAAACATTTTCCCACCTCAAATGGCACTTTGCTGCAAATGAACGAATAAGAAACTAGAACGAACGACCGCTAACGAATTTCGTCCGAATTCCGAATCCGAATTGGCTTTCACACCCGAATCCCGAAAAACGAAATAACACAAATCCGAATTTAAAACAAAACTAATTTTTTGGCAGTGCACATGTCTACTCACAAAGGAGAATCAGTAAAATCATATGAGATGAGCCAGAACGATATCTGAATATCAGCTGCACAGATGCCTGTGTATCAACACAGGACTCCTTTTGATGACGCGTTTCCGGGGCCACACCCCTTTCGTCAGAACATGAACGAATTGTATTTTAGCTCACATTATTAAAAACCATCTACACTAGGGTGGGCGCCTTTTTTCTTTTCTCCCATAGTGTTGCAGCTTCCCAGGCTGAAGTGGGGCAGCACCCCTAGTTATCCTCGCTTGCACTTCATTTTCATCTGTTGGTCATTATTGGCGCTTTGGATTTTTTCACTGATGGTCTCTGGTTGTCAATCTGATTCTGACAACCTAGTGAGGTACTGACCTAAAACAAGCATGAATTCAGAGTCCACAAGTCCACAAAGCCTGACCTCACTATCCTACAAGGTTGTTCCAGGTTAATGACTAACTAGTTGGTGAAACCAGGATGACGGCCCCAGAGGCCACACCTTTAAACAAATTTTTTAAAAATGGCAGTACCCATATTTCTGACTTTGCAGTTTCTCATTAAAGCTGAACTTCAAGCAACTATTAAAATGCTGTTGAATCGCGTTATGAATTTAATGAAAACATGCATTTTTAAATGCTGCTACCATTACTACTTGAAACTGTATTTATACTGGCTTCTTCTGCTCCCCTGCACTGCAGAAGCAGGAGAGGCCAAGCAGTGTGAGCCAGTCAGGCTCTTTGACATTGCACGGTATAGGAGCTGAGAGAAGAATGATGAACTCATGAGCAAGCTGATGTTTTTCACTCAGTAGGCTGTAGGCCTATTCTGTAATAAGACTGTAATTCATACTGCAGTAAACAAAAACTGAGGCCCCTGGCTGTGTCTTGGAGGATTGTGCAGAGTACTGAAAAAACTAGACATTAGAATTTAAGTTTTATTTGGTATGTAATTCAATTAAGATATGTATTTCACCTTTTTGTATGTAGTTGTCTACCTGATGTAATGCGTATGAGAAAAAGTTGTGTTTTCTGACTTTGCAAGGAAACAGCCATGTGATTGAGAGATGGGCTGTTTTACATCTAGACTGGCATAAAGAGGCAGTACACATGGAAATTGCAACCCCCAAAGAGCAATTATGTGGTTGTGATTAGTTTTCTCCTTGCCTTGAATTATCCTTTTTATGCATTAATACTATTAATAAATATATAATGAAATTGTTTTCAATACTCTCCCAGACTAGCCGTTATCAATGTCTTCAATAGAATGTCATTCCCTAGTGTTTGGTGTTTTTTATCTTAAAAAAAAAAAATCTAACAATATACAGGAGCGGTGGACAGACTGTTAAATTTAGGAGCCTATTGGTGCTTCTAGTCCCTGTTCACACCTGGGCGTTTTGACGCACAAAGCTAAGTGCAACAAAACTCAACACAAGAAATCCTATTCATTCCTATGGCCCCTGTTCACACCTGAGAGTTTTGTTGCAAGCTGTAAAACCCTGGAGAAGGTACATGAACTTCTTTCAGGCTTCAATGGACGTGCATGAAAACGCTCGACACAAGCGTTTTGCACATTTCGGTGTGCATTTTTGCGCACATTTGCTAATTCACAGCAATGCATTTCAATCTGCTTTAAAAAAAACACATGCCTTTGTATATAGGCATGTACTCCACTCTACATTTTTGACTACATCTCCCGGATATGTGGCACAGCTCCTTACCCCTCCTATTTCACCTGTTATAGGCCACCCCAATTCTTTCCTAGTCACAATGACTAGGTTTTTAACTGCTGTATATGATGTGTAAAATGAAGGGCATAGCATTTCAGTTCCTCAAGGTGACAGTCTCCCC